GATGGAGACAGCACAACTTTCCCAGTCAGCAGAGGGAAGCTTTTCCTCCAGAGCCTGCTCTGGCCCTCCTCCCCTGGAGGGAAGGGACTTCCTGGGATGCAGACTGTGAAGATTTGGGGATTTTTACCTTTCACAACTCGGCTATGAAGTGGGGGAATAGGGTGCCCTGTGTCTACTCAGCTAATGTGGGCTTTACTCAAACTGAATCATCTTAAACACCCCAAATTCAGACCTGGCTTGAGGGCAGCCCCAAGGAGAACATCTGAGATACTTCCCTCACCCACAGGAAGCAGGGGAGCATCTCAGGAGCTCTGCAGGGACACCTGGCTCTGAACAAAGGGATCCAGGTCAGGATTTGCTGGACCTGATGCTCTCCACATACAAATCGAGCTCAAAGATGGCTCTCAGAGGAGGATTCCCTCCATCCTCAGGAACTTGGGCACTCAGGCACCACCACAGTATTTATGGAGAGTAAAATCAGACAGAGAAATGAGATCTGGCAATGAAAAGTCTTCCTGCAGAGCACGGGGATGATGGAATACTTTCCTTTCCCTCGGCAGCTCCCAGCAGATGGCAGCAGGTCATTGCTGATCCCTGCAGCCTGGGACAGCCTCGTGCAGCAGGGAACAGCACAAATCTGGGGATAATCCAACAAAAAACCGCCCCAGTCTGGTGGGACAGGAGCCCTGAGCGCCGAGGATGCAAAACTGGCAGCACAGCCCTGGTACCCAGCCCGGGTCTGACGTGGGGTTGATAAAAGCTCAAGCTCCAGCTGCATCCTCCATCCTAAACCTTCCTCCATCCTCCATCCTAAACCTTCCTCCATCCTAAACCTTCCTCCATCCTAAACCTTCCTCCATCCTCCATCCTCCACCTTCCCATCCTCCCCTTGCACAGGATCCTGGAATGGTTTGGGTGAGAAGGGACTTTGAGGATCATCCAGTGCCACCCCGTGCCACTGACAGGGACACACGGACATCTTCCACTGCCCCAGGGTGCTCCAAGCCCCGTCCAACCTGTCCTTGGAAAAAAAAAAGGGTTTTGAGTGATGGGAGCTTTCCCCAGCCCCACTGAGGGGCTGGAGCAGGTCCAGAATCAGGGACAGGAGGAGAGGGAACGGCCTCAGGCTGGGCCAGGGGGGATTTTGGGGAAATTCCTTCTCCATATGAGTTGTTAAACATTGGAAGGAGATGCCCAGGGAGCTTTGGATGCCCATCCCTGGAGGTGTCCAAGGAATTCCTGGAGGTGGCACTCAGAGCTCTGGGATGGGGACGAGGTGGGAGTTGGGCACAGCTTGGACTGGATGGTCTGGGAAACCTTTTCCAACTCCTATGATCCTGTGAGTCCATGATTTGGGTTTATTGATGGCCAAACCAGGAACAAGGGGAGCTCTGATGGCTCCTCCCCACCCCAATTCCCTGGGGGGCCACCAACAGTGCCAATGAGGTGCCACATCTGCTACAGGGACATGTCCCAGCCAATATCCCTGGAATGTCCCAGCCAATATCCCTGGAATGTCCCAGGCAATACCCCTGGGATGTCCCAGCCAATACCCCTGGTATTGTCATCAACAGCAGGAAAAGATTCTGGTCCCTGCAGGAGGGGGAACAACTGGAATGGCAGCAGGAGGAAAGCTCCAACTCACTCCAGGGGTGTTCCCACCCCTGGATCCCTCTGCTGCCACCACCTGAGGCAGGAGGACACTGAGAGCCAGGGACAATGACAGCACTGCTCAGAAACCTTCATTTCCGAGGTCACAGTGACACTTGTTAGAGAAAATGTTCCCATTTCATCCCTGCTCTCTCTGTTCCCTTTGCAACCACCTCAGTTCACTCTCCAGAACACTCGGTGCTAACACTTGGATGACTCAGAAAGTTGCTTTTTTTTTTTTTCACTGATTTTTTTATTTGAGGCTGAGTCTGAAGCAGAATCCTCACCCTTTGTGACTGCCTCTGGTGAAATCTTCATAAATTCTCAGAGAATTTTGGGTGGGGATAGAGGGAGAGGAGGAAAGAAGACACAAGAGGAAGGACCTGAGTAGGAATTCAAATTTGAAGCTTTTTTCCTTTTCGTGCCACAAATCTAATTCTGGGTGTGAAACTCTGGTAATTTGGAGGTATTTAGAAGTCATGCTCAGTCCCTGACTTTGCAGCACATGCCTGGGTGTTCCACAGGGAGAAAATCCTGCTTTTTCCTTAATAAAGCAGTGGAAGCCCCAACAACCTCCTGCATTTCTGCTGGCCTAGATATTGAACACACAAAGGAGTGAAAAACCTATTAATATTTGCAGGAAATTTAGCAAATGCCACAAATCCTTTGTGACACCTCAGCAGTCAGAACCAGCCTTTCTCTTGGTGGAAAAACTCACACCACTTGGCAATTTAATTTTTTTTTTTTTTCCAGTGGAAACATGCTCCAGCTCTGCCCTGTGATGCTCTGCTGAGACTTTCCCTGCCTTGAACTGAGAATCTGAAAGCAAAACTCATTTAAAACACATTTTTCCCTTGCCATGGGACTGCTCCCAAAGCAGCAAATGCTGCTGTTGTCACCTGCAGGTTTACAGAGCTTTGGAAAAATGGGATTTAAACAGCAAGAGCCTCACCAGGACCAACAAGTGTTACCTGGGCTTGCTGAGAATTCTCCACATGATTTTGGCTTCAGAGGAGAAAGGGTTTCCCCTTCCAGCTTCCCTGGCTGGGATTTCTACTGCCTGAAGTCACTGAGCAGAGGAGAAAGGGATGCCCAGGGTTCTCAGAGGCCTCTAAAAAGCCTTGAAGACCATATCAGAAGTGATAAATAAAAAAAGCAAAAAATCAAAATCACAACGCTCAGGAAAACCTTAAAAAACTTTTGGTCCTTTCTCAACCGGTCTGGTTTTTCCCACCAACTGATTTCAAACAGGTTCACTTGGAGACAAGGGACCTGCTCCAGAATTCAGATTTAAGGCATGGAGAGAGGGGTTGTGTGGAGATTGATTGTTAATTGTGGCTAATTGCTGCTGGAAACCTCAGGGTCATGGACACAGAAATATCCAGGCAGGGGTGGAAGCCTCCTGCCCCACTCACAACCCTCCAGTTCCCTGGAGAAGTGAAGCAGGGAGGGAATTTATCCCTGGATTTCTCCATCAGCTCTGCCACTGCTCCTGTACATAAAATAAAATTTTTAAAAAATCCCCTTTATCTTGGAAAAAAAGGCCAAACTGAGAGTTATCCACTGCACAGAGCATTTACAGATTCCTGCCTGAGCTGTATCACAGAGGCACAAATCACTTTTATCCCAGCCTGATGTTGTTTTATGCTTTCTGGAGGGGAGCTGTTATGTTTATTTAATCGTTTGAGTAGATCTGGGTACCGTGGAGTCCCTGGGGTGAGGTGAGAACCTCGCTCAGGTGATTGTGAATTCAGGTGAGCAGGGCAGGGCTTGGATGCACCAGAGCCTCGTTTATGTCAAAGGAGAATCTGGGTAATAAACATTTAAACATTCAGGAGTCCTCTGAAGAACTAAACAATCAAACAGAGCATGGAATTACGCCCCAGAAGAAAAGAGGGAAGTGATGAAGCTGTGAAAGGAATAAAAGAAATGTTGCTGAATTGATTTGATGGGAAGGATTCTGCACAAAGCTGATGTGGCAGGGTGGGGGTCAGGCTCTGCCCCCAAGGAACAAGGGACAGGACACAAGGAAATGGCCTGAAATCATGCCAGAGGAGGTTAGGGTTGGATATCAGGAAAATTCCTTCCCCACAGGACAGTCATTCAAGAAAGAAAATATTACATTTGGGAAGTTTATTCCTTGCAGAGTTTCTAATGGCTCTTCCTCCCTCCCCCTCCTGCAGGCCTCAGCATCCACCACTTCCTCATGCCAATGGTGACCTGAAGAAATGAATTCAGTGATGATCCATGCCCAGAAGAGATCCCAAACTCAGTCACACTCCTCATCCAGGGAGTTCCAACCTCCCTCCAAATTCAGCCTCCAGCAGCAGTGGCCAAGTGATGGCACCAAGAGTTTGTGGTGGGTCAGATCCAAGTTTCACACAAACCTCTCTCGTTTGACCCCATTCCTCCATTTCCAAGTCCCACACCTTTCCTCTGGCAGCTCCTGGGCTCAGCTGTCCCCTCCTGACCTGGACAGGATCAGCTGAGGAGCTCCCTGAGCCAGCCCTGAGTCCAGCTGCCAAAACCACTGCTCAGGGCTCGCCTTCACCTGCTTATCCCTCAATCCTTGAGTGAAGAAACCCCAGAATGTGGGAGAGGTTTGCATGGGGTCTGCCACACCCAGTTTTGGGGTTATTTTGGGTTTATTTTGCTGTTCCTGCTATTTCGAGGTAACAGAACTCGAGGGAGATGTCCCTTCAAGCCAACCTGGATCTGGTGACCCTGAGCCTTCAACAAACCAAAATATTTCTCACCTGGGAATAAATCCAAGCCCCAGTTTCATCCTGTTTAAATTCTACCCACCAGCTTTGGAAGCTTTTCCCTGCTTGGGTTTTGGTCTTGGAGAAGCCCCAAGGAAGCGCCAACAACTATTTCGAGGTAACAGAACTCGAGGGAGATGTCCCTTCAAGCCAACCTGGATCTGGTGACCCTGAGCCTTCAACAAACCAATATATTTCTCACCTGGGAATAAATCCAAGCCCCAGTTTCATCCTGTTTAAATTCTACCCACCACCTTTGGAAGCTTTTCCCTGCTTGGGTTTTGGTCTTGGAGAAGCCCCAAGGAAGCGCCAACAAGCGCAGACACTTTGGTGGGACCTCACATCAGCCTCAACTAATCCACCTTTGGACTTGATGACCTTGGAGATCTTCCCAAACCTTAACAACCCCCCAATTCCATGACTCCACGTCCCTCTGAACGCTGCCCAACCAAAGGAAAGCCAAAATTGCCACCAACACCTCCAGAGGTTGAACTTGCCGCTCGCCTGGGCCACCTGAGGCTTTTGGAAGGAGCCACCTCAGCTCCTGTGGGCACCAGGAGAGCGACAAAGGCCGAGGTTTGTGCTCACCTGGCGAAGTCCAGGTCGGCCTCCCGGGACATGGTGATGTTGGTCAGGTTCTGCTGCAGGATGAAGATGTTCCTGCACATCTTCTTGATGCCCGACTCGCTGATGCGCTTGAAGTAGTGGGCGCCGTTGATGAGGATGCAGGAGATGAGGTGGCCCAAGCCTGTGAGGGGGGAAGAGATTTAGTGCCAATAATTCATGGTAAAAAACCCCAAAATGAGCACTGTTAAGTGGTGCCTGGGAGCTGGATCGAGGGATAATTGGATTTTACCTGGAAACCCTCAGTAACCTTCATGGTGCAGTTTAGGACTTTTGACCTCTTTAGTAAAAACACAAAACTGCCCCAAAATTTAAGAGCTGTGTTATCACAACCACTGATCTTTAGCCAGGCTTTGCATAATGTCCCTTCCAGTCTCTCTCCCTGTCTGGGCAGAGCAATGGGTCATGCAGCTCCTGTAAAACCACAAGATTTTTATTTTTATCCAGGATGGGGCTTTCCCTGTTTCTCCTGGTAAATTCAGTCTCCAGGAGCAGGGATGAGCAGCATTCCAATGCCCCTGATGTACAACCCCTCTCTGACCAGTCCTGAACAGTTTCCTGGGTCTGAAGGATGTCAGAAGGACACAGCTGGGGGCTAAGGCACCCCCAAAATGATGCATCCACTCGTGCCACATTATAAAGAGCAAGAACCCAGCCTGATTTACACTGCACAGGTCTGGGCAAGCCCAGAGGGCAATTAAAAGTTTAAATCAAGGATTTTGTTCATGTACAGGGAGCCAGTGTGGGAAATCTGTAAATCCCAGACCCGGGTTTAAGAGGTGCCTGTGCTTAAGGAGGACCATGAGTATGAATTTAAACTTCCACAGGATGTGAATGGTCCCCATGGCTCTGTGTGGAGTCATTTCCCTCTTCTTGAATAAACAGGGAATCACAGAATCCCAGGATGGTTTGGGTGGGAAAGGACCTCAAAGCCCCTCCAGTGCCACCCCTGCCATGGCAGGGACACCTCCCACTGTCCCAGGCTGCTCCAGCCCCAGTGTCCAACATTTCCTTGGACATTCCAGGGATCCAGGGGCAGCCCCAGCTGCTCTGGCAATCCCAGCCCAGCCAGGAATTCCTCATTCCCAAGATCCCATCCATGGCTGCCCTCTGGCAGTGGGAGCCATTCCCTGTGTCCTGTCCTTGCAGGCCTTGTCCCCAGTCCCTCTGCAGCTCTCCTGGAGCCCCTGGAATGTTCTGGAAGCTCTGCCTGGATCCTTCTGCTCTCCAGCAGAGCTCCCCCAGCTCTCCCACACGGATTTCACTCATCGATGCTCTGTAGGTGACAGCAGCACCTCAGTCTGCTTCACCCCTGAAAGGAACCCTGTGGAGCTTTGGGATGAGAATGGAAAACCCTTTATGGAGGAAAGTTTGGGAAGTGCCTGACCTTCGAAGATGTACTGGAACTTGTGCTGCTGCAGGCTGGCACTCACTCCCAACTTGCCCCCATCCATGGAAGGAGAAATTCCATGCAGTCAAATCCCAAAGTGCCAAACCATCATCCCTCCATGGAAGGAGAAATTCCATGCAGTTAGATCCCAATTTTACCTCCTCCATGGAAAGAGAAATTCCATGAAGTCAAATCCCAACCCTACCCCCTCCATGGAAGGAGAAATTCCATGCAGTCAAATCCTAAAGTGCCAAACCATCATCCCTCCATGGAAAGAGAAATTCCATGAAGTTAAATCCCAACTCTACCCCCTCCATGGAAGGAGAAATTCCATTCAGTCAAATCCCAAGGTCTCCAACCATCCATGGAAGGAGAAATCCCAGCTCTCCCACACGTATCTCACTCATCGATGCTCTGTAGGTGACAGCAGCACCTCAGTCTGCTTCACCCCTGAAAGGAACCCTGTGGAGCTTTGGGATGAGAATGGAAAACCCTTTATGGAGGGAGGCTTGGGAAGTGCCTGACCTTCGAAGATGTACTGGAACTTGTGCTGCTGCAGGCTGGCACTCACTCCCAACTTGCCCCCATCCATGGAAGGAGAAATTCCATGCAGTCAAATCCCAAAGTGCCAAACCATCATCCCTCCATGGAAGGAGAAATTCCATCCCAATTTTACCTCCTCCATGGAAAGAGAAATTCCATGCACTTAAATCCCAACTTGCCCCCCTCCATGGAAAGAGAAATTCCATGAAGTTAAATCCCAACTCTACCCCCTCCATGGAAGGAGAAATTCCATTCAGTCAAATCCCAAGGTGTCCAACCATCCATGGAAGGAGAAATCCCAGCTCTCCCACACGGATCTCACTCATCAATGCTCTGTAGGTGACAGCAGCACCTCAGTCTGCTTCCTCCCTGAAAGGAACCCTATGGAGCTTTGGGATGAGAATGGAAAACCCTTTATGGAGGAAAGTTTGGGAAGTGCCTGACCTTCGAAGATGTACTGGAACTTGTGCTGCTGCAGGCTGGCACTCATGGCCTCCTCGATGGCGCTGATGTCCTTGTTGAGCCGCACCACCAGCGGGTCGTAGTCCATGCTCTCCACGTTGGCCACGATGGCATAATTCCCTTGTTTGGCCAGAGGGATCAGGTAGTGGAAGCAGTGAACCCTGTGAGGCACGAGGGAGGGACATCACAATGCAACAACCCCCACTTTAAAGTATTTTAGGGATGCAAAGTCGTTTTTCCCTTCCTCAAGCTGGTGAAAAAGTAACTTGGTGAGATGGGTGGTGACATCTGTGCTAAAGGCGTCCTCCTCTGGTCATTGTCCCATCTTCAGGGATGGATCCTTGGTGACAGATCTGACCTCCATCATCTGGCTGAATTTTCCCAAGATTCCCCAACTTCCCATATAATACCAGTTCTCCAACAAGAAATCCTTCCATGGAAACCTCATAAAAGGGATAACTGGCAGGACCAGCGAGCCAGGGCTCATGGAATGATCATTAAAATTCCATTATTGTGCCTATTCCCAAGCACTTCACACTACTGCAACTCCTTCCTCTTCACCAATGTGCTCAACCATCATCCCTCCATGGAAGGAGAAATTCCATCCCAACTTTACCTCCTCCATGGAAAGAGAAATTCCATGCAGTTAAATCCCAACTTGCCCAACCATCATCCCTCCATGGAAGGAGAAATTCCATGCACTTAAATCCCAACTTGCCCCCCTCCATGGAAGGAGAAATTCCATGCACTTAAATCCCAAGGTGCCCAACCATCCATGGAAGGAAAAATTCCATGCAGTTAAATCCCAACTTTACCCCCTCCATGGAAAGAGAAATTCCATGCACTTAAATCCCAACTTGCCCCCCTCCATGAAAGGAGAAACTCCAGTTTAATCCACTCTTAGGACTCTGCAAAAAAAAAATGTAATTAAATTGTTTCTCTCAAAGCCAGAGAGGAAAGTGTCCAGAAAAATCCACAGCAGAGCTCCTTCTGCTTTTGTAGTCACTCAGGAGGAACAGGGTTGGGTTCTACTTCCACCAGGAGAGGTTTAGGTTGGATTTTAGGGAAAATTCCTTCATGGAAAGGGTTGTCCAGCCCTGCACAGGCTGCCCAGGGCAGGGGTGGAGTCCCCATCCCTGGAAGGATTTAAATCCATGTGGATGTGGCACTTGGGGACAGGGTCAGTGGTGCCCTTGGCAGAGCTGGGAATGGTTGGACCTCATGATCTTAAAGGTTTTTTCCAACCTAAATGATTCCATCATTCTGAAATTTATCTGCCATGGGAACAAATCAAAGCCTGAGGGAGAATCCCTGAAATTTGGGGCATGAGTCAGGGTCAGCACATGGGGATAGGAAGCTCAGAGTGGCCCAAAGCTGTGACAGAGATGTCCTGGCCTCCATATTCCCTGGAAAACACCCTTGAGGTGGCCATCACAAGCAAGTCCAGTTTAGGGTAATCCCCAGAGTAAAAGCATCTTACATATGATTTTATATATTGTTTTAAAATATGAAAATCCTGTAACAGACATTAAGTAGTCTAAAATTTCATGGTTATTCCAACAAAAGCTGCTTCCGTTCCCAGTCCAGATGGGGCTTGGAGCAACCTGGGATGGGGGAAGGTGTCCCTGCCCATGGCACTGGATGATCTTTAAGGTCCTTTCCAACCCAAACCTTGCCAGGATTGTAGGACGTGATTCCATGGCTTGGTGAATGATCCGAGTGTGCCAAATGTCTCCTTTAAGGAAGCACATCCAAATCCAAGGAGCAGGATCTCAGTGACCTCTAGGGCATGTCCAGGGGCACTGGAGGAGGAGAAGACAACACCAACCTGCATCTGGAATGAACGGGGTCTCTGAGGCAGGAGGAAGTCAGAGGGTAATTGTTTGGAATTCCCAAAATTCCTGGTGAATTCAAGGAGACAATTCCCAAATTCCTGGCTGTTTTGGTGCCTCCTCAGGTTGCACCTGCAGCAGCCAGAGGTGGGATAAATTCCCAGGCTCTTCCCAAATGTGTCTCTCGAACCACAGGGATTCTGTGGATGGATTCCCACTGTGCTGTGCACCTTGGACAGATCCAGGGAATGGGTGCAGGATCAGAGAATCTTGCTAGGAACAGGTTCTCTGCTACTGCAGGTGGTTGGAAATGCAGAGTGAGGGATCCAGGGAAGCTCCCACCCCGCTGGGGTTCTCCTGATGTCAGCACCTCTCCTCAGTCCCTTCCACCCTTTGGACACGGTGACGTGGTTTGGTCAATTCACAGCTCCAAACTCAGCTCCTGTTGGAAGCCCTGGAGGAACTGGGCAATGCTCTGCCCTAAATTACAGCAGAATTTATCCCTTCATGAATTCCCTTGGAATTTATCCCTGAATTCCATTCTAGGGATTTTTTGCTTAACCCAAATGTGACAAAAAGCCACAGAGGCCAGAAACCCATCGCAAGAGCCCAGCTGAAAAACTGCTCCATTTCCATCCTTCCACCACCTTTTCCTCAAATCCTCCCAAGCCCAGCAGGTGATGGATGGCAGGATGAAGGAGTGCTGACAAGAATTAATGTGGATTTTTTTTTTTCAGAGCTCCACGCTGACTCCAGCGGAACACACGGGGACACGACGTGGCTTGGCATGCGTCACCAAAGAACAAACTGATGATCCATCAAATCTCTGACATTCCCCTTCTATTTGATGCCTCAGAGCCAAGGGAAGCAATGAGAATACACCAGGCCTAAACAGTTCTCCAGGGAAAAGCATCATCCCAGCCCTGGAGTGGGCAGCTGGCAGCCTGAAGAAAGGGATTTGCTGCCTTTGACCTTTGCATGTGAAGGCAGAGAGTTCATGAAATTACCCAGCCCTTAAAACAATCCAGCTGCTTCCCCTGTTCCTGTCACTGTCTGAAAAAGTAGGAGGAGAAGCTCCTATTTGCAGTCCCCCAAAAAAACCCACCAAACTGTGGAGACACCTGTTAGATGGTGAAAACACCATTGTGTTGTTTTGGAGGGATAAAGTCCCTGAAAATCACATTTTTCCTGGTCTCTGAACCACAATCTTGGAATCTCAGAGTGGGTTGGGTTGGAGGGACCTGCAAGATCATCCAATGCCACAAGGGCAGGGACATCTCTCACTATTCCAGGCTGCTCCAAGCCCTGTCCAGCCTGGCCTTGGACACTTAGGGGTAGCCCCAGCTGCTCTGGTAGGGCCTCACCACACCAACATTAAGGAATTTCTTCCTAAATTCTCTTTTAGTTAAGACACAACCTCCCTAGGAAATTCCACTTTTGGTACCCTGCCTCCATCCCACATTTGGCCACCCACGATTTGGAGATCTGGCGTTCCTGGACTAACCTTTGATGCTGTTGTGGACAAGTTTATTTGTCTCCTCTGGACATGATCTTCACCTCAGCCTTCCAAGATCCCCCTCCATCCCCAAATCCCAGGTTTTTACCTGACTTCCAAGTGCAGCACCAGCAGGCAGCGATCGGCCATCTCCTGGAAGGACCTGGCCAGCTCACTCAGGCTCTGCAGGATCTGCTCAGATGCAGGAAGGTGTTCCAGGCTGCCATGGCTGTCCTGGCCTGGGGACGTGGCTGCCAAGAGAGAAGAGTTAAATTTGGGATGTTCTCCATCCCATCCAGAGCCTCTTGTGTGCTCCCATCCCAGCTCTGGGTGTTCCTTCTGCCTCTGATTCAGGAGTGGATCAAGGAGCAAAGTGCTCCTGCAATGGGTTGAACCCCCAGGTGGATCTGAGAGGTTTCACCAACCACCAGGAGACATTTCCCTGGGAAGAGACTGCTCTGGGCTGAGAATTCCTGTGGCTGCAGAGTCCAGGAGTGTTTATCTCCCTCTGGGAGCCAAGGCACACACAGGTGGGAGGGTCCTTTTTGGTCACCACAATGTCCCTCAGGTGAGTCCCCATCCCTTCAGAGGAGCCTTGCTTTGGTTTTGTTCCTTAACTGCAACTCTTGGCCAGTTAAAAGCAATGAAACCACAGGAAACATGCTCATGGATCATTTCCTTCCCACTGAGACCACCTTGAAAACCCTTCTGGGATTTTATCCCGGCCCTGAGTGCAGGTCTAACTCCATAAATTCATCCCTTGGGGCAGTAAAAAGGAATTGAACCACAGGCAACACCAAGGAGCTGCTCATGGATGGTTTCCTTCCCACTGAGACCACCTTGAAAAACCTTCTGGGATTTTATCCCAGCCATGAGTGCAGGTCTAACTCCATAACTTCATTCCTTGGGGCTGTAAAAAGGAATTCAACCACAGACAACACCAAGGAGCTGCTCATGGATGGTTTCCTTCCCACTGAGACCACCTTGGAAAACCTTCTGGGATTTTATCCCAGACACCAGAGCAGCTCCAACTCCATCACTTCACCCCTTTATTCTATCCCAGGGCTGAGCCCTGAACCTCCTCAATTAAATAATGGGATTGTGAAGAGATCTCCTGGATCTCCAAGCCCCATCCCCACAATCCCCGTGTCCCATGGCCTCAAGCAGCGATTCCTGTGCCATATAAATGATTTCTACCCTTGCTGGCTCCTTCAAAACACCTCTGTAACAGGGAAGGTAAAGTTTGGGATTGAATTTCCAGCCTAACCTTATTCACTGGTGTTTTATATTTGCTTCTTTACATGGCAACATTATTCTTTTCCCTCATGGAGTTCTCCATCCCTTTGTTGAATCACAGGATCATTTTCTCCAGGCTGAGCCCCTTTCCCAGCTCCCTCAGCTGCTCCAGACCCTTCCCAGATCCAACACAGCCCTGCACAGGAAGGATCTGTGCATTCCCAAGGAGCTGCTGACAATCAAATTCCATTTGGAGTGATGCTGATTTCAAGAAATGTGACTTTTGTACAGCCACAGCCCTGCTTTGGGAGGGGAACTTTGGATTAAACACTAAAAATAATCAGCCTAAAATTATACCCTCAGACCCAGCCTGAGACCCAGCCTGAAAAGAGAAAAAAAACAAAAAAAGCAAAATGAGGGGATAAAAACCCCAATTGTTTTTTGTGCAAAACAAATTAAAGCAGAGGGGACCAAACAGGATGGAATTGTACAATTAAGTGTGGAAATCACAGAGTGTGGAAGTAGATTTTTGATGCCCAGAGGAGCTGGGGCTGCCCCTGCATCCCTGGAAATGTCCAAGGCCAGGCTGGACAGGGCTTGGAGCAGCCTGGGACAGTGGAAGGTTGGAATGAGGTGATCCTTGAGGTCCCTTCCCTTCCCATTCCATGAATTAACTCCAGGAATTAACCCCTCTCAGCAACTCCTGAGGTCACAGCAAAATTCAGGAAGTAATTTTTTTTGAACCAAGGAACACCGAGAAATTCCCAGCCTGGCAAATACTGCTGGAAATGATGAGCTGGCCTGGGGTGTGAAAGGGGAATAAAGAGGGAAATGAGGGTGACAATCCAGTCTGGATGGGGTGGGAATGATGAGGATTCCCCTTCCCTGAGACTCCTCCCAGCCCCTCTCTGCTCACTGAGCTCTGTCCCACCACGAAAATTAAATTATCAGCGAGGGGGTGAGGGGCTGATTTACACAACCTCTAAATCCAGATTATCCCAGGACTCTCAGGAGGCACTTGGGGGGAGCTGTTTGTCCTCCAAGTGACCCTGGAGGGTGGCAGGACTCCAGCTCAGGGTCAGGTTTAGGGATAATTACCTGCTGACAGGAAAGCAGAAAACCCCACCTGTACCATGCATAAAAAACATCACTTTTTAAAGCCCCAAAATCCTGCATTTTGAGAAGTTTTTATCCTCCTGGAGATGCCCTTGGTGCAGGAATCATCTCTGTTTAGCAGAGCCAGCTCTGTCTGGAGATGCCACCCTGGAAGTGCTGGAGATGGATGGAGCCATCACAGAAAAGCAGGAGTCAGCTCCTTCCTGCTGCAGGCAGATGCACACACCATTTTTCTCCTCTCCACAATTCACTTGCAGCACTTTAAGTGAAGCTGTAATTATATTTGTCAGTGGAGATAAGGGGAGGAGGGAGATGGGCACAATCTGCTCCCTGTTTAAAGCACTCCAATCCTTCTGGGGCCCCCTGGCAGGGAGGAGGCTCAGGTGGGGTTTTTGTGGGGGGTGAATCTGAATTTCTCCTGTGTTTTTTTGGCTTTTGGAGCTCAAAGGAAGCCTTTCAGAGCCCATCAATTTTCCTTTCTTCTCTGGACATCCAGAAGAGAAAAATCCCATTCTTTTAAGTCTCACTCCAGATAGTTTTACTCCATCATCCTTGGCAGCACGAAGCCAACAAACGAGCTGGAGCAGCAAAAAATAATCAGAGCCTAAATTATTGAAGGGCTTTGAGTAGAAAATGCCCATTTGGAGCTGGCTGTGGAGTTGGGCAGCTCTTTGGGCAAAAGGCTGAGCCTTCCTGTGGCTGTGGACCCACCACACTCTGAAAAAGAGAGGGATCTCTGCTGAAATGCTGGGAAAAGGGGGAAAAAATCTGGAATCCTGGCAAAACAGACCAGCCATCCAATTCTTCTTCCCCTTCTCCTCCTTCCTAACCCATTTCCACCCAGCTGAGCATCAGCCCACCTGGCCACCACAAGCCCCTGGCCAACGTCCTGCTCCAGTGGCCCCTGTCATCCTGGAGCCTTGAATTTGAAGGTGAATTTTCCATGCTGCTGGATAAAAATCCCAGTTTTGTTCGGGATTTCTCCTCCCTGGCTGAAATCGCAGCCGAGTCCTCTCCCTCAGAGGAAAAGGAATGTTTCATTTCAGCAAAACTGAGAAAATGAACTCAGCACAGGCCTTGTCACCCAGGATTTCTGTCACCCTGCAGTTCCACTGCTGGCAGGTTGAAAATGGATGGATGCAGACTGCCAGACCTCTGGAATATTAAACAAAACCCCCTGGAGCCACTCAGGTGTCAGCAGAGTGACCACTGCCACATCCCAGGGCTTTAACAGCACCTGGGGCAAAATCAAATCAAGGAGACAAACCTGAACCTGAGGAAGTGTGGGAATCCAGAGCTTCCCTCTGGCTGCCCTGGCAGGTCTGGGACCCTGGCAGGGGGTCAGGAACCCCCTGGACAGAGCCCCCAGAGACACTGTCTGTGATCTCTGCCCATGGAAAAGAGTTTTCAATCTTACAGGATGAATTACAAGCTCTGAGTGTTTGATAGAAGTAATAATTAAGTGTGGCACGGGTGCAAAAGTAAAATTTTAGGTTTCTAGATTAGGGGTCCAAAGGGGACAAGATGGAGGAAATTGGGTGTGTCTTGTCCTTTTTCTCCTTCTTCATGCCCTCCATGTTTCACTGTGGTGTTGGCATTTTTCTGTTGGTTCAGGCTGGGGACACACTGTCCAACGTAGGTGACAGATATGGCACGTTATTGTAAATCCAGCACAGGTAGTTTGTGGTATTTAATGTTTGTACCATCCCACTGAGGGCAGAGCCCCACACGCTGCCCTGCAGGACAGAGCTGCGGCAGGGCAGCAGAACATGTTAGAGATAAACAGAATAAACAACCTTGAAACCAGCACAGATTAATTACAACTTCTTCTTTGGCAGTGGGGCTGACAGACAGAGACTTTCTACAATTTTGGGATCATCAATACCTCAGATTCTGACAAGGAAGGAACCTCCAAAATGCTCAGGGTTTGCACAGCGTTCCCAAATTTCCTCTATGGGGGAAAGGAAAGGCTCACAGAGATATATTACAGCTCTGCTGGGGGAAAATCCCTCTACTTTGGGACTGAAATGCAGCAAGAAACTCCTGCTGAATTTAAGGACCAATTCACAGCTCCTTAAATTTGAATTTTTCCCTCCTTTTTTCTCCAGAAGAGGCAATTCCAAAAAACACAGGGAAAGGGGAATTTGTCACTGGGTAGGTGCTGGGTTAAGCCTTTGGAGAGTCAGGGTTAACTCTTCTCTCTGCTGGAGACTTTCCTGGGGATCTCAGGCACCACTTTTGCTTTCAGTGCTTGAGTTCCCAGCAGGTAAAAACCTGGATAATGAGATTTTATCCATCACTGCCATTCTAGCAGGGCCTCCTTGTTCCCACAGCTTTTAGCACCATGAGGAGATGACGCCACAAGGACACAAAAATCGCTACTAAAACACCTTCAAAAAGGAGAATATCTGGTATTTCAAGGAAAAAGCTTTGAGTGAAGCTAAGCAGAATTGGAGATGTGATTATTTTTTAAAGGAGTAGGGTGTGAACATTGGATCCAACATCAAGCACTTATTTCAGAGGGATTTCTGCCAGGGAACCTTTGACTTCCACACCCAAAAAGCATAAAAAAATATCGTAATTTTAAAATATTTCACTATTTAAAAGCCACCTCTGTGTTAAGGCATGGTCTGTCCCTCTGGGACTCAGCTGGGAAAGGGAAAGGTGCTGCTGGTGAGGGGACAGGAATGTCACCAAGGTGTCCATGCCCCACCAAAAAGGGACTTTGAGGTACAGATCAGTCACTGCCTTCTTCTAAATTGGTCCATTTGGGAATTCCAGCTCTCTAGGAAAGGACTGGAATGAGCCATAAAAGCTGGAGCTGGATTTTGATTTTGATTTTCCCACAGGATTCATTTCAAAGAGACGGGAATTCAGGAAGCAAAGCTGGATTTTGGGG